GACTACCAATCTGTCGACCCGGGTTCAATTCCTCTGATTCCTGAATTTTATTTTATTTTATTTTTTCACAATGTTAAATATGTATTACATTATTATGTAAAATAAAAATAATCAAATTGACATTGTTTTGATTGAAAAATTTCACTTTTAATTTCATTTAAAATAATTCATTGAACATAATTGCTATTAACAATATTATTATTTTACATGTTCTATCCGATATAAAACTAATCAAATGCCGCTTTTAACGCAGTTTAATATCGTATCGTAGAGAAGTAGTGTGGAAGGGAGGCCGAAGACCGTTACGTAGGGCCATTAGGTGGTATACAAATATACAAATAGGGTCGGAACAGTGAATACCACCTTAACGTTGGTAAAATTACGGACCAAATAAAATTACGATGAATAAAATATTTTTTGTATTAAATAATTCTATTAAAAGCGGCATTTGATTAATTTTATATTGGATAGAACATGTAAAATAATAAGATTGTTAATAGCAATTATGTTCAATGAATTATTTTAAATGAAATTGAAAGTAAAATTTTTCAATCAAAACAATGTCAATTTGATTATTTTTATTTTACATAATAATGTAATACATATTTAACATTGTAAAAAAAAAAAAAAAAAAAAAAATTCAGGTATCAGGGGAATTGAACCCGGGTCGACAGATTGGTAGTCTACAGCTGACCGCCTCAGCTGCGCCACCTTCTCGACAATGAGCTCAACGCGAGCGGTATATATGGAACGGTATAAATTTTAACCCGGTTTTTCTCGAAAACGGCTGCGAATGGCATCGTGTCCCTTTGCTGAAATCTACTACTAGAGTACTTTAACATATATAAGCCTTTTCAAAATCGGTGTCCTACAATTGGCGTTGTCCCCTTGTAAGTGACTCGTTCAGAAACGTTTCGAGTGCTCTCGATCGAGAGATTTTTACACCCTGCCAAAGACCAGGGGGAGCAAGTCTCTCGATCGAGGATGGCACACAAAGCGTGGCAAACATAACCAAATATACTGAGGCTGCGTTCGGCAAAGTGCATCAAGCACAAGATTAATCTTTTTATCCTTGTTTAACATTTGGTGAACAACAAGGATACCATGATACATCATGCACATGATGTGCTTTGCAGAACGCAGCCTTAATATATTAAATATACTGAATCAGTAAATGAGAATGGAATTGAAAAAAATTCATTTTGATGTTTGCGTACTTCTGAAAATCTGAATCCATTTCAATATCCAATGCCTTTGTATTTATTTATAGGAATTGCATAAGCACATTTTCTATGCTATTCAAACCAAAAAAATTCTGCTTTAAAAAGTAAATCGTGAATATTGGTTAATTTAAAATTCTAGATAGAAAATGCAGTTTTTTTCAAACTAATTAAATTCAAAAAAAGTTTTTGCGTGAAAATAAATGATGAATGTTATATTCAATTAAAAATTATGGCCAGGAAATCCATTGTTTCAACCCATCTAAATCCAAAAAATATTACATTATATTAATATTATACGAGGTTTCACTTGACGACCAAGAACATTTATTCTTCTTCTTAATTCCATTTCAGCTATTTCTTCGTTGTCACTATTATCACTTTCTTTGCTATCTATATCCATCATGACATCCATTAATAATTTATCACTTGCAATAATTGCAAGTGCTATAATTCTACGTTTTTGTTCAAATTGTGTTGCCATTTTTCCTCTGTGTCGTTTCTATGGGTGTGTTCCACTTAACGCTCGTCGCTCGCAACGCTTTTGAAATCATCATTTGTTGTTTATCAAATGTTAAACAAGGACAAATAATATTCGCGATAGAATCCCTCTAGAAGGACTCTAGTTCGCGAGCATTGCGAGCACCCAGTAAACGGCCCTTACGGAAAAAACGCTCAAAATTTGAGAGTTTACACTCAAATTTAAGTGTTAACACCCAATTTTTATGAGTTTACTCTCAAATTTAGGTGTATATATTCAAATTATGAGTGTTACACTGCAAGTTCAGTGTTTACGCTTTAATAGTGAGTATGTACACTCAAAGATTGAGAGTTTGTTCTTAAAATTGAGAGTATGCATTAAAAGATTGAGTTTGTACTCTCAATTTTAAGTATAAACACTAAACATTTGAAAGTTCACTTTCAACGCTTGGATATGATACTCAATGGGTTTACATTCAATAAGTGTAAGTCCAAAATCTTTGAGTGTTATTCTCAAAATTGAGTATTCTTAAAAGATCGGAAGAGCACACGT